CGAACCCCAACATGATGACCGCTGGCCTTTTAAAACCTGTATATGCAGGATTACAGGTCGGTGGCGCGCATGTTGGGGTTCCTTCGTCACCACCAACCTACCACTCGGTTTAAAAAGAAGTCTTATCCATCAATTCGCCGCTTTCTGCACCAAAAATTGCGTCAAAAGCCCAACAGGCCTACCTGTTGCGCCTTTTTCTTTACCGCCCTTCCAAGCTGTACCTGCAATATCGAGATGCGCCCAAGGATAGGCTTTGGTAAAGCGCGCTAGGAAACAAGCTGCCGTTACGCTTCCGGCTGGGCGTCCGCCAATATTCGCCATGTCAGCGAAATTGGATTTCAATTGCTCTTGGTACTCTTCATCCAATGGCATGCGCCAAACGGAATCAGCTGCTTCTTGTCCAGCCAAAATAAGCGCTTGCGCCAAGTCGTTATCTTCCTCTCTAGCGAACAAGCCACTGTGATGATTCCCCAGTGCAATGACGCATGCACCTGTAAGCGTGGCGATATCAATAACGGCTGCGGGCTTTAAGCGCTCTACATACGTTAAGGCATCACACAAGATAAGGCGCCCTTCTGCATCGGTGTTGAGTACTTCAATCGTTTGCCCTGACATACTTTTAACAATATCGCCAGGTTTGCTTGCTTTGCTGCTAGGCATATTTTCGCAAGTGGGAATAACACCAATCACATTGAGCTTAAGCTTCATGCGTGCAACTGCGCGTAAGGTGCCGAGTACGGAGGCTGCTCCGCACATGTCGTACTTCATTTCATCCATCGCCTCACCTGGCTTGAGTGAAATGCCGCCAGAATCAAAGGTAATTCCTTTGCCTACCAGCACGATGGGAGCGTCTTTTTCTGCTGCGCCGATATGACGAATAACAATAAATTTAGGAGGTTCAACAGACCCTTTTGCCACCGACAGAAAAGAGCCCATCCTAAGCGCTTCAATTTGCTTTTGGCTAAGCACTTCCAGTTTTAAGTCAAATTCCGAAGCCAATTCCTTGGCCGCCTCGGCTAGATAAGTCGGTGTACATACATTGCCAGGAAGGTTGGCGAGATCGCGTGCAAAACGTATTCCTTCTGCTTCTGCCATACTTTGCTCTACCGCTTGCTGCGCTATTTTGGCAAAGGAAGTCTTAAGCGCTGCTGCATTTTCATCTAATGCTAAAGTAACTTTTGCTGGAAGATGAAAAGCTGGCTCTGGTTGGCTTTTCATCTGATTAAATTGATAAGCCTGTGCAAAAGCGCTTTTCACTACAGCACGCACTGCCTGTGCCATTTTTGTTTTGGTCACATCATCTTTTGCCTCTACGCTTGGTGAGGTAAAAGCAGGCAAAGCCCAGAGTACATCGTCAATTTGCGTTGCAAATAAGGTTTTCCACGCAGCACTTGCTGCTTTAGCATGCGCAGTAGCGCTATAGGTCTCTTTAGCCCCACAACCGACCAGCAAAACACGTTTAGCAGAGATATCAGAAACACTATGCAACATTAAAGTAGTTTGAAGCGCACCGCTAAAATCACCTTCTTCAATTAAGCGAGTAATCAACCCTTGTGTGCGGTGATCTACATAGGCTGCAGCACCAAAAAGAGGTTCTTGCAAGGCTTTTGTAGCCCCTTTCACAGAGGCTTTTTTTGCAACCGTACTAGCCATTTCCTTTGCAGCATTGCCAGATGCCTTTGAAAACACCCCTACTACTAAACAATCATGCACACTCGCTTTACTTGCAGTTTTAGCTTCACTTAACCCTGTAGAAGCCTGGCTCCAATCATGCACTTTTATGCTAAATTCCATTCCTTTTTACCCCTTGCCAAGAGCCTGAAAAACAAAAGCGTAATTATCCGCGATTTTTAGATCGTACTTGTGCTGCAAAATGCATAATTTACCTCTTTCAGGTCGTTTCTTGCTTATTTTTAAGCACATCTGCGCCCTCATACCTGTCTATTTATGATTTTTGAACGTTCACTGCAGCGCGAGCTCGCTTATACCGCAAGTGCAGTATTTCTTGTACTAGCCACCGCCCTGCTCGCGAGCATGATGATTCGCATTGTAGGATTAGCTGCTTCAGGCGATATAGACCCGCGCGACATGCTGATGATGATTGGCCTAGTCATGACCGGCTATTGCGCTGTGATGCTGACGGTTACCCTTTTTGTATCCGTTTTAGTCGTCCTGACCCGTTGGTTTCGAGACTCTGAAATGGTGGTGTGGATGTCTGCAGGGGTGAGCTTGGCTGATTTTATTCGGCCTATCCTGCTCTTTTGCGCCCCGCTTATCGTATTGATTGCCTTCTTTTCTTTTGTAGGATGGCCATGGTCGCATCAAAAAACCATGCAATTACGCGAACGCTTTGCGCAGCGCGATGAGATTGCATTAATTTCCCCGGGACAATTCCGCGAATCCCCTTCCAATCACTATGTCTTTTTTATAGAAAGCCTCTCTGCCAATGCCACTCGCGTGCGCAATGTTTTTGTCGCCAATACGCAAAAACAAAAAGTGAGCGTGGTCGTTTCCAGCCAAGGCCAAATAGAAACACAGCCGGATGGAGAACGTTTCGTTATCCTCGAAAATGGCCGCCGCTATGATGGCTCGCCCGGACAACCCGACTACCGCATTATGGAATTTGAGCGCTATGGCTTACGTATAGAAAACCCTCAACGCGCAACAGCACCACTGACCACTAGCTTATCTACGCTGGATCTCATTAAAAATCCAACCGTTATAAACTTAGCGGAACTTGCCTGGAGAGCAGGCCTACCGCTAGCCGCTCTTAATTTGATACTTCTCGCCATTCCTCTGGCTTACCAAAACCCGTATCGTGGGCGCGTTTTAAATTTAATTATGGCCGTACTAATCTATCTCACCTACTCCAATATGCTCAATGTGGTGCAAGCTTGGATTGAACAAAAAAAACTTTCTTTCGGTGTGGGAGTGTGGGCACTACACGCTGTTGTAGCTCTAGGAACTACCTTCTTCTTTATCTTACGCACGCAACACCAAAGCTTTAGCACCCTGCTTAAAACTTACTTATTAGGTAGGCGCGCCACTTGGAATAACCCCAGTAAGGAGCACTAATCCATGCTTCTCTATGAACGCTATCTAGCCCGACAAATATACCAAGCGTTTGCTTTCGTACTCCTTGCTTTTACAGGGCTCTTTTTTTTCTTCGACCTCCTCAATGAACTAGATTCAGTAGGACGCGGAAACTATCGACTCGTCTACGCACTCATACGAGTGGGCCTACACATCCCCTCTCGCTTTTATGAAATAACCCCCATCGCCGCGCTCATCAGCGCTATTTACGTCTTTGCTACGCTAGCAGCAAATTCTGAATATACGATTTTCCGCGTCTCCAGCTTATCCATTGGACAAGCACTACGCACCTTAATGAAAATCGGCCTGCCTATCGTTGCCATGATCTTTTTTATAGGAGAGATGGTCGCCCCCTATGCAGACCAACTCTCCGAGCGCATAAAACTCGACGCACTAGGTTCAGCGGTATCCTCCAACTTCCGATCTGGCGTATGGGTCAAAGACACCTTGGAGCTTGAAAAACAAGAAACACTGAGCGCACCCACACAAAAACCCTCCACGCGCCGTTCTCCTTCATCCACTAAACCCACATCGCAATCCATCATGCGCTTTGTGAACGTAGGCGAACTCAAACCGGATGGCAGCATAGAACGCGTACGCATCTATGAATTTGACTCCACCTTTCGGCTTATCAACCTTCATCTAGCCGAAAGCGGACTCTTTGCCCCCCCAGACCACTGGCAACTCAGAAACGTCACCAGCACCCACCTGGCCGACATAACCGACCCCGTTATCAAAACCTCTACATCAGCAACCAGTAAAGCCGCACGAGATACCCTGGCACAAACCTATCAATCCAAGCAAATTAAGCGATCAGAATACCTACTACGCTCCCAAATCACCCCAGAAATTCTGTCGGTCTTGCTAGTAGCGCCAGAACAAATGTCTATACAAAACCTGTTTTCCTATATCCACCACCTAAAAGAAAACCACCAAGACACCCAACGCTACGACATCGCGCTATGGCGTAAATTTGCTTACCCCTTTGCCATCTTCGTCATGCTCACCCTCTCCCTCCCCTTTGCCTATCTACATACCCGGGCAGGAGTAGTAGGCATCAAAGTCTTCGGCGGCATCATGCTAGGCATGAGCTTCCAATTAGTAAACACCCTGTTCTCCCACATAGGCACCCTCAAAACCTGGCCTGCCCCCCTAGTAACCGCCATGCCTGGCTTACTCTACCTCGCATTGGGAATTGCGGCTTTGCGTTGGGTTGATAGACATTAGATCAAAATCAAACCAGCAAAAGCAGCCAAAGCGCCCTAACAGGGCAAAATTTCCCCTTCCAACACAAAATAATTCACTTATTTCATAAAAATAAAGCAATACGACTTCCAATCTCCTAAATTTCCCATTACAATCTCGCGCTTTCGCTGGAACGGGTCGTTAGCTCAGTTGGTAGAGCACTGGACTTTTAATCCATTGGTCGTAGGTTCGAATCCTACACG